CTGCATGTTCCGGAGACTAAGGTGGTAGATCTGGAAGTCAGAAAAAACATGAGGAACAAGAAGCTGTCTGAAGAGGAACTACATGAGGAAATGTCTCTTGTTGTCAGGAAGTTTAATAAATTTTTCAAAGGGAAAAAGAAATTCGGCCAATCAAATGATAGAGATGCTGGGAAATGTCTGGAGTGTAAGGGCTCAGGACACTGGAAGGCGGAATGTCCAAGTATTACCAAAAGGGAGAGTGTACTGAAGAATCTCAAAGATACACAATGCTTCGAATGTAAAGGCTTCGGCCATACCAAGGTGGAGTGTCTCAAGAGTAAGGGAAAGTCTCTGATTACTCATGAAGAGGAGACTACAGACTCGGAAAGTGATGGCGGAGAAGAAGATCTGTCAAACTTTGTGGCTTTTCTCGGAGTTATTGAAGAGGAAGGTCAAGAAGTGGATAGTGACGGAGAGGAGGTCACTGAAGAAGATCTCTTTAAAGAAATGACTAAGCTGGTGCATATGAATAAACAACTTATCAGTGAAAAACAGCAACTGGAGAAAGAACTCAGGGAAGCTCAGATGCAACTGACAAGGACACAACAAGAGCTGACTCAGAAAGAGGAGGAGGCATCTAGTATGAAATGTCAATTGGAAGAGACCAAGAAGAATCTCCATCTTCTTGGTAGTGGTACTGGGAAGTTGGATCATTTGCTTGGTTTAGGCCGAAGTTCAGGTGATCACTCGGGACTTGGATATCAAGGGCATACACAATCCAGTTCCAAATTTGTATCTGGAGGAAATCTGACTCAAGAAGTGCCCTTGCCAAAGTATAGAAGTTCACAACCACAACAACCCGTGTGGAAGCCAGCCTACAATCGAAGGGAAAGTAGAACCTGCTATCACTGTGGAAAATTGGGACACATTCGGAGGAATTGCTTTTATTTGAAACAAGACAGAAGAAACTCGAGGTTCATTTCGTCATCCTACAACCCTTCAGTTTGGAATCTCAAATGGATTCGAAAGTCTGATCTGATGTGTCATGTAGCTTATACTACTGAAAACTGTGACAACTCAGGAGTCTGGTACCTTGACAGTGGTTGTTCCAGACATATGACAGGAAATCAAGGTATATTGCGAGATTTTATAGAAACTCAAAAAGGAGGAAGTGTCACTTTTGGAGATGGCAAGCAAGGTCGAATTCTAGGTAAAGGAACTTTACACTGTGATGGATTACCTAGACTGACTGATGTTAAAGTCGTGCAGGGGCTGAAAGCTAATCTGATTAGTATCAGTCAGCTCTGTGACAGTGGGATGCGAGTTAAGTTCACCAAGAATGCCTGTTTTGTAACGGATGAGACAAACAAGTGTGTGCTGACTGGGAGAAGAAACTCTAACAACTGCTATACTTGGGTTAACTCAGAAAGGATCTCTGGACAGAAGTGTCTTATAGCCAAGAAAGATGAGCTGAACCTGTGGCATCAACGACTGGGACATATTAATCTGCGAACTTTGGTCAAGCTATCTAAGTCAGGTGCTGTTCGGAATCTCCCAGAACTTTCTCACAGTGACAAGTTTGGCTGCAAAGTTTGTCAGCTTGGCAAACAAGTTCGCATTCGACACAAGAAAACAGAGGAGATACATACATCACACATTTTGGAACTTGTTCACATAGACCTGATGGGACCAATGCAAACTGAAAGCTATGGTGGCAAGAGGTATGTTTTGGTTTGTGTTGATGATTATTCCAGATTTACTTGGGTTCGTTTCTTACGAGAAAAATCAGAAGCCTGTATAGCTATACAGCATCTAGTCCTTCAGCTGAAAAATGGCAAAGGTATGGTACAACGCATTCGAAGTGATCATGGTAGAGAATTCGACAATGATGCGTTTCAACGATTCTGTGCCACTCATGGTATCTCACATGAATTCTCAGCACCTAAAACACCACAACAAAATGGTGTAGTAGAGAGGAAGAACAGAACACTGCAAGAGATGGCACGATCTATGTTGCTAGCTAGGGATGTGGCCACTTGGTTCTGGGCAGAGGCCATGAGCACGGCTTGCTATTTAATTAATCGGATTTATCTTCGACCTGGCATGACTAAAACTCCTTATGAGATTTGGAAAGGGAGAAGTCCACCTCTCAAGTATGTTCACATCTTCGGATGCATCTGCTATATCTTGAATGACAGAGAATACTTGGGTAAAATGGATGCAAGAAGTGATGAAGGACTATTTCTTGGGTATGCTCAAAACTCTGCGGCTTACAGAGTATTTAATCTGCGTACTAAGACAGTGATGGAGTCTGCCAACGTCATTTTTGATGAAGAAATGGTCCAAGAATCTAAAGAAGTTTTTCTTCCTCCACTTGGTGATTCTCAGAACTCAGAGCTATCTCGTGCGGAGTCAACACCATCTGAGAAGATCGACACTGACGATTCATCATCTGATATTGATCCTGTTGAAGACTTGAGCATCAATACGACCACGCCAATCTCAGTTCATCGGAATCACTCGGCTGGAGACATCATTGGTGATATTCATGCCTCTCGACAAACAAGAGGTAAACCCAGGATCAACTACAAAGACTTGGTTAGGTTTACCTGTTTTAATTCTCAAATCGAGCCCAAGAAAGTGTGTGAGGCACTGGAAGATGAGTTTTGGGTTCGGGCCATGCAAGAGGAGCTAGAACAATTTGTCCGCAATGATGTATGGGTCTTAGTTCCACGCCCTCAGCATACCAATGTTATTGGAACCAAATGGGTGTTCAAGAACAAGTCCAATGAGCTTGGTGAGATAGTTCGCAACAAGGCTCGGCTGGTGGCTCAGGGATATACTCAAGTTGAAGGTGTTGATTTTGATGAGACTTTTGCACCCGTGGCTCGTCTCGAATCCATCCGCTTGCTCCTTGGTGTTGCCTGCAGTCTAAATTTCAAGCTCTATCAAATGGATGTCAAAAGTGCTTTCCTAAATGGGATCCTGCAAGAGGAAGTATATGTCGAACAACCCATTGGCTTTGAAGATCCTCATCACCCTGATCATGTTTTTCGCCTGAAGAAAGCTTTGTATGGACTGAAACAAGCCCCCCGGGCATGGTATGAGAGGTTAACCTCGTTCTTGGTGGACCACGGGTACAAAAGAGGGGGAGTAGACAAGACTCTGTTTGTCCATCAAGAGGATGAAGTTCTGATGGTTGTTCAGGTGTATGTTGATGACATCGTATTTGGGTCTGTCTCTCAGAAAAAGGTGGATGAGTTTGTGCAGATGATGAGTGATGAGTTTGAAATGAGCATGTTTGGAGAGTTGAACTTCTTCCTAGGACTACAAGTCCGACAAACGGATGATGGCATGTTTATATCTCAAAGTAAATATGCTAGATCATTGGTCAAAAGGTTTGAGTTAGATGGCAGCAAATCAGCAAAAACACCAATGTCAACTACAACGAAACTGACTCGTGATGAAGATGGAGAAGATGTTGACTCGAAGCTTTACAGAGGAATGATTGGAAGTCTACTTTATTTAACTGCAAGTAGACCTGACTTGTGTTTAAGTGTAGGTATCTGTGCAAGATATCAGGCCAAACCAAAGAAATCTCATTTGCAGGCAGTTAAGCGCATTATCAAATATGTGAAAGGAACCGTGGAGTATGGATTACACTACACGAAGGATACAAGGTGTGATCTGGTAGGTTTTTGTGATGCAGACTGGGGAGGTCATGCTGATGATAGAAGAAGTACTTCTGGAGGATGTTTCTTTCTTGGAAACAACATGGTGGCATGGCACAGCAAGAAGCAAAATTCTACATCATTGTCAACAGCAGAAGCAGAATATATAGCCTTGGGAAGTTGCTGCACTCAACTCATGTGGATGCGTCAAACGCTCTTCGACTACGGTATTAACTTACCCTACTTTACCGCTTATTGTGACAATACGAGCGCTATTAATATTGCAAAGAATCCTGTTCAACACTCACGCACTAAGCATATTGAGATTCGTCACCATTTTCTAAGAGAACAAGTTGAAAAGAAAAACTTGATCATTGAGTACATTTCAACTGAAAAACAATTGGCTGACATATTTACTAAACCTTTAGATATGAACAGGTTTGTTAGTTTACAAAAATCCCTGGGTGTGGGGGAACTTTGATCTGTTTTTCAAGTTTTTGAAAAGAAAAATGAGCAGGAAAGGGTAGAAGTCAGTGGAAGCAAATGTCAAAGGAATGAACACGACAATCAGAAGTACTTCACTGATTCTCAGGTACATCTCGCAAATGCAGACTTATAAACTTGATTCTGGTGCTCCTCTGTCATGGTACACTCATAGACAAAATTGTCGAAGAAATCATGATATGAGTAAACTTATGAGGTGCTCGGGTCTAAGTTGAGAGATAGCATTCCATACGATGGTCTAAGGGCAAATAGAAATTTTTTTTTTTAAAAAAAAGGGAAAATTTCCTCTGTCATGGAACATTGGGTAATTTCAGTTTCTAAATACTCCGCTGTGACTCACAAGAGTTTCACATGAGTATATCTCAAAAAGAGATAGTCTGGACCTTAATGGTGGGAATGATCTATCGATACAACGTCCTAGAAGTTCAGAATCTGTTTGATTTGCAAAATAATCTAAGTCTGAGTAAAGCTTGAGAAGCATCTGAGAATGTGTGAAGTGCAACTGCAAGTCGGATACATTTCTGCGATGTGAGTATCTTACTGATTAGTATCTCTAACCTAATCATCTTTCTATTATCATTTGTATTTTCTCGTCTTGTTTCTGTTGCTACTATCAGACCTGGAATTATCTCGAAGGGTTAGTAATTTGAATATGCTAAATTGTGATTAAGCGGGAATGGAAATTTAATCAAGTTATTTTTAAAATTTGAATCTCTCGCACTAAATACACGTGCGCTGAATATGCCCTAATTTCTCGCTTGCTTAAAACACCCACGATCGTTTCTCTCTCTATTTTGGAAGTTCGGAATTCACGGTTTTGGTTGCAGAAAGAAACTTCCTTCACAGATGGCGAACAAGAAAATCGGGAAGGTTATCAGACAAGGGGAGCGTCGCTCAGCGAGATACGCCGCTCGACAGGCTAGTGAAACAGGTAATCCCAATCTTCCTGTAATAGTCGAGGAACCAGTGACCATGGATGCAGGTCGAGAACAGGAAACTAGAAATAAGGAGCATGCAATCCCAGATGAGGCAGAGAAATCAGATCCTGAAGTGCCTCCGCTGCAGACAAAGAGGAGAAAAACAAAGTCAAGCAAAGATAAGGATACTCTGTCACAACTCCTGGAACAATCGACACCTGGTTCAAGTGAGCATGCACCGTCTAACTCTGAGAAGGATCTGACAACTGAGCATGTTGAAGTGAGAACATCTCAGGAAGGACCTGTAGTTGAAGAAAAAGAACCCGATGGCGAAAATGTTCAGTCTGACAACTCTCTGGATCTCGATGTTCAGACTCAGGGGGATAAACAAGCTGAAACTGGCGAAATACAAGAACAGTTGGACGATGACATCGTTGAACAAGATGGAGTGAGCGATGACCGAACCATTACTGAAGCCTTAGACGGAATGTCAAAGGAAGACGATGCGGATACAGTAATGGAGACTCAATCCCGAGCCCCAGAAGTTTCTGTTCAAGTAAGTTCCGATAACTCAGATAGTCCTTTGATTGTTATGCAACAAAAGGCTAGGTCAAGAGCAAACGTGAAACAGAATAAGACTTCGAGAGGAAAGAAGAAGGTCTCACAAGGCTCGAAAAGGGCAAAGATGCACAGAAAAACAAAGAAGGGGAACTCAGAAGGACCATCTGAATCAAGCATACCGAGTAATGAAACAGGGGTTAGGAGTGTCAAACCACTGTCTGAGAAATTTTTGTCTGCTGAGACCAAGAAGAGATTCGAAAAATTCAAGGGAGTGGAAGTACTTGCAGAAAGGAATGTGAACGTCATGGATTTTCGAAAGAATCATGTCTGGGATCTATTTGCAGAACGACAGCTCACAGGAACACTAACTTATGCGTGTTCATTTAGTAAAGGGTTGGTAAGAGAATTCTATGCCAATCTAACACCTAGCACCGATATCCCTGGTGATTTCATGCATTACAAGGCGTTTGTGAGAGGAAGATTCATTGAATTCTCTCCCACCATCATCAACAAACTGTTGGGCACACCTGATGACTCAACTCAGGGATTGGAAGATCTTCCAGAGGGAACTACACTTGAGGATTTGGAAGTAGCTCTGACTGGAGAATATGTTGCTGATCGAAGTGGCAAGCTCCCTATTGCTGGTCTTAAGTTTGAAAGTCGAGTAATGCATCTGATTGGAAAGACGAACTGGTTGCCTACTCGAAGAACTGATGTTCTACAGGACGAATTAGCCCTACTGATATTCAAGTTACTGAGGAAAGAGGATGTGAATCTGGGAAGGATTATCTATAGTCACATCCTCTCAAGGGCTGCTGACATGAGAGTGCGCTATTTGCTACCCCATCCGTGCCTAATTCAGAACATCATTGTGCGACAAAGTCCAGAAATTCTAGCAGATTCTGAGATTACTGAGGTGATTCAGCGGCCATTGGTCATTGAGTCTAGAGTTCTACAAGCAAAGATGAGTCGGGCACAACTATGCAGCAAGACCTTCACTCTTCTTCTGAAACATGACAAGCAACTTATTCAAGTTGAGAAGCTGCAAAGGCAGGTTACCAAAGTTGTGGCTCAGATTCGTGCGCGTCAACATGCTCTTTGGACAGAGTTTCAGAGTAATGCATACTCAGCATTCTTCTTCGAGGTATGATCATTATTCTGATTACACTAATGTTTTTGATTGTCTGCTTATCCACACAGGGGGAGAAAGTGAAGGAGTTCCTTCATCGAGTACTCCAGACAAAGGAAAAGAGAATATAGTTGAGGACTTGACGAGCGACTCTGGTAATGAAGATGATGCTGATACAACAGAAGATCTATCTGAGTGAATACTACTTCCGTTCTCATGAAGTGGATTTGAGCTAACCATGTGTGCTTCTTGCTTTTGATGTCTTTGTGTCTGACATTTATCCGAATGTTGCTTTCATGTTTTTCGAATTCTGGTGTTCGTATGTCTATCCATTGTGTACTGAACTGGTTGGTTAGATATATCTTCTGTTTGTCATGGATTACACTACATATCTGTGTGAGCTTGAGTGTGTCTAAGCAGAAAGTCAAAAAGGGGGAGAATGTTGAAGCAAGGGAAGTGCATATTCAGCATCTAGAAGATCAAACAAGAGAATGGAAATGTGGAGCTAAGCAAGGAAAGCACATAAGGAAAGAAAATGGAAAATGGAAAGAAGGCAGCTATATTCAAGAAGAAAAGGAAGAATGTTTATGGAGAGGATATTTGATGAATCAAAGAAAAAAGGCGTATATATGCAAGGAACGAGACATTAGGATGGTTGTCGAGATTGTCAAGAAAAAAGGGTTTTTGAGAGAGACATTGAAAAAGATCTTGTGTAAGGGAAACACCGGTGAGTGAGAACTGAGAGAAGGTGAGATCGACTTGAGGGGGAGCCTTGAAATTACAGGCGAACCGCTCCGTGCCTAGACGAGCTCTAGGGTGACACGTGGTGTGCGCTGTGCACAGTGTGTCTTTGGGCTGGTAGAATTTCTTGTGATACTAAGGTTCATTCAGGGGGAGTGAAATTGGTGAGGGTTGAATACTACTTAGAAAGTACTGAAGTGTATTTGACTCGTATCAAAGAAATAGAATCAGTTTTGGTATTTCTGATTTATTGTATCGTGTGTGGAGTATTTTCAATTTTTTTAGTACATGTGTAGCTTTTTTAAGGGACAATCGTAAAACAATTACCAACTTTAAAAAATTTTCATATAAAATCACAAACTTTATAAATCTTATCATATTCCCGCTTATTTATTAACTTTACGAATTTTGATAAAATCACGGACTTGTGAATTTTATGCAATTAATATGATCAATGTATTATGAACAACGTGTAGAGCATATTAATTGGATGAAACAATGTCATATGAACGGAACCATCAACTCCTGTTATGGTTTCGTGCTCTATTCAGGACTTCGTCTTCCATGAAATGAAATAATGGTCAAGAAAAACTAGGTATATTGTGACTAAATATCATGAAATACTTTAGACCGATCCTTTACCGTTTAGTATGCTGACCCATGGACGAGCAAAGATTAATCTTAATATGTAAGGTTTAAAAGTATCGGTTCATAAATAAATGATATTCATAACACCTCATAGTCTAACAAAAAAAAATCATGAAATATTAATACAATTTATCACTTAGTCAAAATCAAAGTAAATAATGATACGAAATATCACTATTAGGAGTGAACTCGAATACCATGCCAATATTTTTCAAAAATGTACCTTAAAATTATATCAGAATCAATAATATACTAGATTCAATCATTTGTCTAGTAACTAGTTTCAATAATCGTGTGTGAAAAAATGGTATTTTAGGATATATTGCAAAATGTTTCGAGTTCTTGTATGTATTAATTTTACTATGCTTTCTTCACTTAAAATGATTAGAAAAATGACTTCTAAAAGAATGGCACGGAAATCTCATGATAAGATGAAAGAAGTCTCACAAAAATGTTACTAAATTGTTATGCAAGAAAACAATATATGGTATTAATTTAGGTTTATTAAAAATATATATAAAAAAAATGTAATACTAATCTTATATTGATTAGTTTGAATAATAAAGATTGATTTTAGTGATGCTCCCGTATATTACTAAATTAAACCCGTCCAAAATAACTAATAACCATTGTAACTTTAATATAATAGAAATTGTGCAAACCAACCAAAAGAAGAAAGGAAATAATCTAAACATTTGATTTATTCCTTTAGCCTATCCAATGAATGATATAAATTGAAATAAGTGGTGGGGTGCCGAGTATTATTTATATGACTCACATGTTGTTTGGTAGAGGGAAAATGGGCCGTTTTACTCATTAAACGTGGCGGCTGTTATAAAATTATATGATTATACATTCCACTATTTATTGCAATCATTTCGACCATTAATAACAATGGAAGATTTTAAGTAATCTGATTTTGATTTTATCCATATCCTTGGATTGGCAATTTCCAAAGGAATTTTAATTTCGTGTCTAGAATCTCTATTTCTAGTAGTCAAAATTACCTAGTTCAAACCATAAGGCCTAACCAAACATTTTATAACTATTTTCAATATATGAAATATTAGTATTATACATAAAAATACCGTCTTCAGTTCATTATATATATCAACATATGGTGTATATGGCACAAAAACATATTGGTTTAAAAGATAGAATTAATATCAAGAAATTGTGATCTCTTCAATTACATGGTGGTAAACGTGATGTTAAAAGTGACTTTAAAGCGAGGCTCCTTTCTCAACCGTTAGTGGTCATGTCATAACTAGATACACATTGTTATTATTATAATAACAATTTTTATTTTAAAACTAAATATTCAAACTTTATGTGAATAATCTCCAAATAAGACCCCAAAGCAAAACTAATAACTATGTTTATGTTTCCATTGCTAAAACAACCAATCATTGTTATGTTATTTCTTTTATCACTATGTGATTTATTATTATAACAAAATTTCTCACATCAATTTCTGCAGAAATATGATTACATACTCTCATATTTTTGGGTTATTAATACATACATATGTATATATATATATATGTGTATTGTGAAGTTTTCAACAAATCCACTATTTGAAGCGGAGGCTTTCGAAACCTCCAGGTGAAGCAGAGGATCTCAAAAGGATAGAGAGACATTTCCGTCATTCGTGCGTTTAATGAAACCCGATTAGGGTTTCCTCCCTCGTTGGTTCTGTGATTGAGTCTGTAATTTTTCGGTTTGGTTCTCTTTCTTCTTTCGGGCGAGGCGATCTCGCTTCTCCGCGTTTGGGATCGCCGTTCGGCGGTTTCCGGCGGAAATTTCGGTTGTAAACCTTAACTCAAAACGTGACTTCATCTTCCCGAGACATAGGCATCGAGATTTCTTTTGATTGCTGAACTCGTATATCCTCGTGTCTCTTTCTGTTTATGTTCATCGTACAAACGAAAGATGGAGAGTCCGATCTGTGAAGAACAGGCCGGCCTGAACCACTATATGTACATATATATGCATGTTCGTAGAAGAAAGTTTATGCCGTCCACTCCCATTTCACCAAAACTGAATCATTGGTTTCATTCAAATAATGATGGTTTCTCGTATGATGGAGATTATTCGATATAAGGTTTGAATATTTTAATTTGACAGGAAATAAACTCGCTGAAATGAATTTATAAAAAAGTCTTACATTGAATCTCATACTACATATACATACATTGTACAAACCCTAACATCTCACGTTGTTGGAGGGGACGGTAGAGGATATAAACTATCAAATGTTAATATTTCATTAGAAATTTGAGTACATATATAGCTCATATACCGTAGAATTAATATTAATAATATTTTCGTAAATTCAGTTTGTTTGAGGGAAATAAATGTTATATTTGCTAAAAAAATTATTTCTTAATGCTGTAAAATTCTCTAAAATTATTCATTAAACAACTCAACTCCGTACGGACAGCCTCTTGGCTGTTGTCAAAGGGTAACAAGCAACAATGTCCATCAAACATGTGCCTCCATTGAATTTCACATACAAACTTGGATTTTATTAATATTTAAAAATGCAAAAAAATGAAAGTAATTAAATTTCTTGTTTTTTTTTTGGTAATTTTATGGAAATATTAATGGGGAAGTATGTCGTTTTATGTGGAATAATTCTCTCACAAGTGGATCATTGGGACAGAGTAGAGTTACAAGTTACAACAGAGAGTCACGTGTACAGCCAATGTGATTGAGCTCACTTATGCTTCGTTTTCTTATGTACTTGCCTGCCCACTTTGTCTTTCAATCATATCTTCTCTTTGATTTTGAAAAAAAATATCTTAGTTTTTTTTTATATCATAGTAAAAATCTAATGAGTATCAGTCAAAATTAAACTCTAATGTCGTAATAGATATTGATTAAAGTATATCCGGATGATATATTCAAGTTTTGGATTGTAATATGTATATATGGCAGAAAAAACTATTAATATAAATAATGAAAACATTGAAAAGCTAGAAAAAAATCAAATCTAAATATAATTAATATGGATAATTTATAAAATCTTATTCCATCTCCTGTAACAAAGTTTTAGAATTTTCTAAACTAGACACAAGAAAATTGAGTTGGCTGAGTTCCTGTGTTAATCTAGAAAATTGCGTTGGCTTAGTTCTTGCGTTGGCTAATGTTAAGGACTTTATAGAAGTTTGGATCTTATTCTATAGATTTATTTCATTAATTTTATAGGATAAAGTCTTGGCGGAAACATTTTCGTTGGTTTGGATCCTATTCTACAATTTTTTATTTCATTTTCTTACTTTATACCAAGTGAATGTAGTAAATTTTCTGGTTTTATGAAATTTTATGACACAACAGTTAGTTTTCAACAAAATTAATAGTCATAGCCAAAAAATAAAACATAAGGAAAAAATAACATATTACGGATTTATAAAGAAAACTTAAATAGCTATATTAATAAATTTCTAATAAAAAACTATATTAATTAATAAATTTCTAAAAAATCACATGAATTATTTCCCATTTTTATATTAAATGCTAAACTTTTTAAAAAAATTATAAAATCAAAACCTTCTATTTGTAAACAACTCTTAAAAACATCATTATATTAAATTATTAACTTTTAAACGATTTGCTAAAAACTATAATATTATTATGGTTTTTGGAAATTATCTAAAATTTTAGGTTTTATTGTAGGATTTTATGGGGATTTTAAAATTTTTATATTTTGTTTATTATTTTTTTAAATATTGTGTATTTATGTATGATTTTTCTAAAAACATAATGATGTTAATTTTGTACTTTCAGTATTTAATTAGTGATTCTTTATTTATTTATTTATTTATTATTATTATTACATTCGTGTGCATGCATATGTATTTTTTATTAATTTAATAAATTTTGAAAGTTATTAATGTCATTTCAATTTTCAAATCAGAAATATAAATTTAATTAAAATAATATGCCGTCACATTTAAAAAATGCAGATTTCGATAACCCACATAAATTCATTGAATCCATTGTGAACGAACTAAAGTTCTAGGAAATGGCTATATCCTTATATAGTATACTAATCTACACATGGCAATTATTTCTTCCACTACACCACTATCTAGATTGGTAATAATCATTTAAGGTAATATCCAAATTTCATAGGATATATCTAAATTTGGCAATTAGTTCTACAAATAAAAATATTCCTATATAATCGCTAAAATAAATGGACGTAAAACCGCAGGATGTTACAATCATTTATGAGTTTCAAAGAAAATAATTTTTTTATAAAAAAAATCCCACACAGAAGGTGGGGGGAAATTAAAGATAAAGAAATAGAAAAAAAATAAATTTAAAACCAAATGGGAGAAGAGATGACGTGGGTGAGTATGGTGACATTTGATAATGTCGTGATTATATAAAGGGAGCATGAGGGTCTCTCATTCCCATCACCTTCCTTCCTTGCGTCTCCACAACACACAACCCTCTTGTAACTCTTCTATATTATACAAAAACAATATCTCTCTCTCTCTCTCTCTCTCTCTCTCTCTCTCTCTCGTTATTGAAAATCATCATACGGGGAAAGAGCAAAATATAAGATGGAGGTGAAATCGAGGTTCAAACGTATTTGTGTATTCTGCGGAAGTAGCGTCGGAAAAAACCTAAGTTACCAGCTTGCGGCTATTCAACTCGGAAAGCTATTGGTACATGTCTTTTCTATTTTCCTCTCATGAAACTTCACCTCAAAACCCTAATCTTTTTTTTTTTTTTTTATCTTTTCTCCAACAAAGAAGTGTATATATATATATGTGTGTATATATATATGTTTTACATATTTGGAATAAATATGTTCAAGTTGATAATTTTGTTCCATTGAGGAACATGGGTATGCTCTGTTTTTTTCCCAAACTTCTTTCTCTTTTGTGTTTTGATATTTTTAAGATCTATCCGAACTGTTTTTTTTTTAATCTGTTTATGAAGTTAATACCAGAGAATTGCTTGAGACAAAAGCTAATCAAAGCAATTAAATTAGAGAGGGAGCGCTTTGATATGGGAAATTAACATGTATTTATAATAATATTCTTGCGCTATAAATAAATAAATAAATAAAATAATTGTGCAGGTGGAGAGGAATATCGACTTGGTTTACGGAGGAGGAAGCATCGGGCTGATGGGTTTGGTCTCCCGGGCTGTCTACAGTGGTGGTCGCCACGTGTTGGGGTGCGATTGGTCAACTCTTTTACTGATCCACGTTTAAATATTTTTAGTTTCTCAATTGGTAATTTTTCATTCATATTATTAATATTTCTCTCAACCCTTCTCAGGGTAATTCCAAAGACTCTAATGCCCAGAGAGGTAATAATCTGTTTTCGATTAAATATTTCAGAATTTGTTCTTTACAAAAGAAATATATAAATATATAACCATATTTTTTTTATTGTTTTCTTATAAAAAAAACACTTTTTTTTATTTATCATATTTAGATTACCGGAGAGACAGTGGGTGAGGTGAGGCCTGTGTCCGATATGCACCAACGCAAAGCCGAAATGGCTCGTCAAGCTGATGCCTTCATTGCCCTGCCAGGTTTTTTTTTAATAATTTTAATTAGAGATTATATTTTTCCCATAATATATAAGATCTAATTAAATAATTAATCTGACTGATTATTACTTTTAACTGTAACTGATTAAGGCGGCTACGGGACTTTAGAAGAACTCCTGGAAGTTATCACCTGGGCCCAGCTTGGAATCCACCAAAAACCCGTAGGCAATTTCGATTTCAACTTCTTTTTGGAATTTTAAGTTTAATTAATTAATTAATTAATCGCTTAAGTTATTTAAATTTGAATTTTGTTTGTTTAAATAATGAGACAGGTAGGATTATTGAACGTTGATGGATATTATGATTCATTACTATCGTTCATAGACAAAGCAGTAGACGAAGGATTCGTAGCCCCTGCTGCTCGCCACATTATCATATCTGCAAGTACTGCTCATGAACTTATGTGCAAGCTTGAGGTACTTCACTTTTATCGTTACTATTAATAATAATCTATAAGAAATTATGTTTATGTTATGCATATATATACAATTGAATCATCGAAATAAATACTATATAATTAAAAAAAATTAACTAGGTATAGATAATGTCGTGAGATAATTTAATAGAAACTGTCAAATTTTAATTTTAGAAATCGCGTCGCTACGTTAATAATTAATATTTTAAGGCAAATTTTGGTGATTAAAAGATTCATTCAAGATATAAAAGTATTTGTGTAAACATATATAGATAACTGGTTTTTGTGGAATAATTTGATAGAAACTAATAGTTTTAAATTTTAGAAATGATGTTGGTATTAAAGCATATTTTCTCATTAAAATTAATATACTAATGTGCAATATTAAAAATTTCAAAAGTTCCCCTAAATTATTTTAATTAATAAACAAACGTTAGTTTCGAATTTTGAATATTATTTTGTATTTCATTCAGTTCTTACTAGATGGTATTGGGAACTCAAATTCCTATAGAATCGATGCACGTGTCGCACATGGGACCCACCTTAAATCTAGAGGTCACATCACATGCAAGTTCCGTGCGAAAAGCAATATATACCGTTGGATCTAAAACGTGTCGTTGACCTTTTGACCAGGAGTACGTTCCCGAAACCGATGTGGGGCCCAAACTAAGCTGGGAGATGGAACAGCAGTTGGGTTATAATTCGACCAAGTCAGACATGTATCGTTGACTTTATCCTAAAATCAAGACCGTACACACCATGGAATGATCGTGAAATATTGACCGTTAGATCGTAATATACAAAAAGTGTAGATAATTATTGAAAACAATTTTAAAAAAATGTCTTTGTTCACTTCCCACTCAAGCTGTCACTTTCATCCTTAGCTGTAATTGTGAATTTCGTTATATATATATATTTTATTTATTTTGGCATTGTAATGCAATTGCTAATTGATTGCTTTATTTGTTTACGTACTGAATAAGTGTCGGGCATTTTTGTGGATAACAGATATACAGGTGCTAATATTTATCAATTTTTTCTCTTTTGTCGGTGACATATATATAGGTTTTAGTTTCTTCCATATATATATATATATATATGTATATTTTAAATTTTTAAAAAACAACAATAATATTAAAATATACTATATTATTATTGAAATAAATGTAAATTAGATATCCGCAAATTTCAGAATATTAATATACAAATTTGAATATCAATCAATTAATTATGTGACTAGTATCCAAATAAGATTTAGCCAAAAAAAAAAAAAAAACTAGTATATAAATAAGTTGAATATCAGAGTTTTGGATATTCGAATCTAAATAGAATCATTTCTGAATATTCAATTTTTTTGTTAAAGGAACAATTTCTGAATATTATTATAATTAAAAAATAAAGATAAATTCGTAAATTTGAAAAAATATTCAAATATAATTTTGTAATTGTTAATAAATTGTTGGAGAAAATTCAAAAATGAATAAACAAAACACATACATATCTGATACGATGATAAATATTCAACTTCGTATCTTATATGAACCTGGAATTTAGATATGATTTCGACCATATAACATGTATAAATGGTTGGAAATCAGAATATGATTTCAAGACGTGTAATCATTTTTCTAAAAGCACTATTTTATATCTACCGGATAAATGAGATTATAGAAATACACTTTTTAGAAATTGATATTTTTATATAAAATTTTAAAGAACTGGTATATATTTATATATATGATAAAATGGTTCATACATATATTTATAAAATGTTCACAATATAATTTCTAGGATTTAATTAATGGAGATATAATTTAAGATAATAAAAAAATATTTACATATTAACTTTTAGGATTTAATATTTATTTAAGCATAAATTTATCCTAAATTTGAGCATGTGTGTATATATATATAATCGGTCCAAGTTTGATGGGTTGTTATAAATTGCTATCATGGAAAGGTATAAAGATAGTGATCGCTCCATGGGATATTCGGCAAAACCAACTGTTTCCGAAAGGAGGAGTGTCAAAATGAAATTTCATTTTATAATCATTATTTAATTATTGAAGATATTATATTATTGGAAAAAACGAATGACCAATATAAAAGTAACACATAATATATATATATATATATATATATATATATATATATATCTCGAGACGAGCAAATTCAACGTGAGATACTGAAGTGAAATTATGCGCCTTACGTTTCTTCTTCTTCCAAGTTCTAATGCTCCTTTTAGTATTTTTATATACCTTTTTTTTATTTAATTAAATAGAGATATTTCCGAACATTAAATTAATCATTATAAATACACCTATCCATTGTGTGCACGTACGGGGGTTATACTACTAGTACGGAATTAAATTCGAACAAAACATTCAATCCACCATCAAATGTAAGGGTTGACACGCCATTCGAAAAAAAATCCATACTTACAATATATTTAATTTCCAAACCAAATCGAATAAAAAAATTCAAAGACCTTGACTAATATACAACATATGTATGTGTGTGTGTATATATATTATAACTCCAAAAGTCGAATAGTTAAAGACATTATTATATTCACTACTTAGCAAGAGCATCAAATAGATTTCAATAGGAAAGGTGAGATCACAAGTGGAGAAAAAAACTTGTTTTAATATTGTATTGAATTTTAGAAAATAAAAGCAACTTTTATTGTTATTCGAAATGAAACTTCAATCTTTAAAATAGAAAATGAAAAAGAGTTCAACGAACAACAAACCAACGGAAAATAACAGATCAAAGAAAACCAAATTCAAAAATACTTCATCCAATTACCGGTCATGTTATTTTAGATTTTTTACCAATTAAAAAAAATTAAAAAAAAATCATATATACCTTTATTAAATTACTTAGTCTTGAAGTTGAATATTTTTAATTAAGAATAAAATTAATATTTATCTATAAAATCTAAAATAGTATTTATTAAATAACAAAAAATATTTTACAAAGTTAAAAGAAACGTTGGGAGGGAGTAATCTATTTAAAGTTGGGCACGACAGTTATTAATTGTTGACTCTGTCCCCCTTGTTTTGGGCCAAGATAAATGGGCTTTGTTGGACTTAAAGGCTTTTTTTCTCTTTTGCGTTTGCCACGTGGCCTAAAGTTTCATTTCTTGTTTGTCTCATTCGATCGGTTTGAACCAAATCATTTGTAATATGCTATCCTTGCTATAAAAACTAGATGTATAAAAATATTTTAAAATGAAAAAGTTTAAACACGAATGTAAAATAATTTTTGACTTTTTTTAAAACTAAATTTTTTATCAATAAAAAAAATTCAATTCAAATAAAAATAAAATACAAACCAAATCGAATCGAAGATAACCCTTGTTTTTTTTGGAGTCTTTTGGAGGCAACATATAATGACGTAATTTTGTTTTAAAATTTGGATTTCATCAATTAAAAACATTATAATCTGTCAACGAGCTAATCTCCATAAATTTATTATACTAATTTAATTGTTAAAAGATTTTCAAATCCAGTATGCCACATTGCCACTCATTTCCCTCAACGTGACGGAAACAACAATGCATAAAAACCTAAAATCATACTCAATATATACATCATATAACACGTGTATAGACATGTGTATGTGTATGTGAGGAGGCTTCGAGTGTCTATGCAAAGGATGTTACTAAAACATTAGTAGCAGCGGTGTTGTAAGTAGTCGGTTCGGCTTGCATCGTGTTGTTCCGATCGTCCACGTACGTCTCGTTAAGAAATGGGCCGCCGACAAGGGCTCCCACCGCTACGTTCGGGTTCGGTTCTTCAGACATTAGCCACACGAAACCGTCCGTACAACCGGTCGTGGCATTTGCCGGGATGGAAGCTCCCCTGTGGTGAACTTGTCTCGGGTAGCTGTCTCCATACCCCACGAGATAGCTCATGTTCATCGGATTTTGCCCCAAAACGTAATCCACCTTGAAAACGCTCGTGTTGATATCTATTACTTATCATATTAGGGAAACCGTAATTAAAGAGAAAGTACCTGAGATTTAGCGAAAGATTTGAGTTCGGACGGATCAAATGACTGTCCCCCGCAGAGTAGCGTTTGATCGGAAGGAGAAGAGATGATGTAGTCGGCGTAAAGAGAGGCTAAAAACGCGGAAGCCACGGCCTCCTGCAATGCGTTCCATTCGCTCACCCATATCAGACCACCTGCTTTCAGACCGAGATCAATGTTCCTATCGAGAGAAACTCGATCCAAACGTTTCAAGAAAATTACAAGGAAAAACCCGGAAAAAGGATATGATTTTACTCTGTGTCCTGCTCGGCGAGGCAGTGGGAGATCTCGGAAGAAGAATGCACATAACTGATTCAGCGGTTTGCTTATACTTTCGCAGCACGTCGTTTTCAGATTCATTTTTCGAGCCAAAGAAGCTTAATCGCGAAAGTAATACCTGAAAAGTTTCCACAAAGGCACAAAACTCATTACGTACTTCGAATCTGCTCGAGTTTTTCAAAAAAGTGGAATCTTGTACCGTACCTGTACCCCGGGGAGCTTGTCGTTCCAACTGAAGAAACGCGGATTTCCGAAATCCGCAAACGTTTCTCCGTTATCAACAACATAGCTGTAATAAAACTCGTCTCCGGTGGCATGAAACAGCCAAGAAGCAGCCCAAAGAAGCTCGTCACCAAACCCACTTGAGTTATAAAACTCCTGAACCTCAGGGACACTCAAACTGTACAAACCCTTGTAAGAATCGGCGAATTGGAACAGATCCTTTGCGTGCATTAGAAGTTCCGTCGAGTAATTTGGGTCGGAATGCTTGAAAACGATCGAAGCCGCGGCTAATGCTGCTGAGGTCTCGGCCGCGACATCCGAACCTGGTTTTTCTCGGTTGATCTGAGTGAGCGGTCGGATTTCGGACATTGTTTCGGGTCTGTCCCAACAGTTGTGGTCTAACTCTGGATCACCAACCTGTATAACATGTTTATATATATATATATATATATATATGAAATCATATGTTCGAATTCTTTACAACTCTGTTGAAAAAATGGAATATTTTGTTTACCCGTAGAATTTTGATTCGGGTTTATAAAATTGAAACAAAACGAACTCGATTATATAAAATTGAACGGAAGCAAATTGAATAAAACCTAATTATCTCTGGATTGAATATTATATAAAATATATTGAATATTTATTTTTTCAAAATCAAAATTAACTAAACGCGAAATGAAATAACTAAAACGAAAAAACACAAGGAAAATTTTCTTAGAAAATAGGATTTTAATAAAAACGGATTTCTAATGAATCTAATGGAAGACCTGACAAAAAAAACTTGTATATGAAAATAGACCTTAAAAATCATAAAAAAATAAATAAAAATAACCAAAAACCAAAGAAAAACACGTGACAGAGAGTATGATGAGTACCTGGATGTAAAGAACATTAGGAGAAACATGAGCATTGAGAAGAAAATCAGTGATCCACCGGAGAGAATCCGTGGCCGGCTCC